AAGGTAACATTTTGTAACAAAAATAAATCTGTCCGAGGATTTTTTAAAAATTACTAAATTGAAACGGTAACTCCCAAATAAAATCTTAGTCTCGAGGTTGTAAAAGGCATGCAGAAATTCTGACATCATTTTTTGCTTTATAGTGTACGCATATGTGGTGTATTCCTGAACGGCGGATTAAGCGGTAAGCGAACTATGCGGGCGCGTAGGGCCCCGAAGGGGCTCCCGCAGTCTTTAAAATGCTACTGAAAAAAAGGATTGCGAAAACGCAGATAGAAATAGTCCAGAAAAACGCTTCGATATATATAGATACATGGAAGAAATAAATGATATAGCTTTATGGCCAACAATATTAACAGATGCTATTATTGATCATATTCTTAAAACAAACTAAAAAGTATAGAAAAGAGATTTCTTAATAAACGAAAAAAAAAGAGTTAAAAAATCTCAAAAGTCGCTACTTTTGACCGATTTGTCTGAGGTCTCCACTACCTCACTACGTCCCTCTAAAAGTCGCATCAGTTGGGAACAGGGAACACTGGTGAGCAGACATCTAGGGTCTAAGTAAGGCAAAATGTAATCGCCAAACCGCGCTGTAGAAAGGCGGAAAAATTTTAAATTTAAAAATATAATTTCTTGTGAACAGCAGTTTGGGCCCCCCTTCCAAGTGGGCCCTGTACGGTTGCACCTGTTGCATCTGCCTAGTTACGGCTCTGTTTATCATGCTAACTTAAAATAAACGTCAAGTTTTTCAGATGTTTGACCATGATCACATTTTTATATTCTTTCTTTACTTGTGTTAATAATTCTATTAATGAACGACTGCCAAGTCTCTGACAAATGGTTTATTTTGGACTGTGCAAAGATTAAAAGCATGTCTTTTAGTTCAATTTATTAACCAAGAATGTTCTGTTGCTGATGAATCACCTAAAGAACCCCAGTTTAGATATCACTTTCGGTCATAATATCACTTCAATTGGCATTCTCATTGAATTATTCACTTTTCATCAATTCCATGCTTGTCAACATTTACTGTGGAGAAATCAAGTTTACTGAGAACAGCAAGACATTGCTGTCCACAACGTCTGAAAAAAACAAATCCACAGTTCACAAAACACTTTTTGACAGTTTCAGGTTTCACTTCATTTCTATGTTGAGGTCCTAATCCACCTTAGGGCATCAGTAACAATAATGGAACAACTTGATTTTATCCATTTTGGCAACCAGAAGAACACATCAATTTTTCTGATAATATTGATAGATCTTAAATGTGCAAGCAATGCCTTGATCTATTGGTGGCAAATTTGATATGGTGTTGCTGAAAAGAACTTCAAGCTCTACATTTGATAGGTTCTTAAGATAAGAGAATTCATTGTATAAAAATAAGGAAAATCTTCCAATTTGAATGAAAAAAGTAAAAGCAAGTGTAGCTAGCCATAACTGAAAGAGATTGCAAGCCACAACATTCCAAGAATGTTATATCCATCTTCTTAAAACATCTTGGATAAATGACAATGTGAAAGAAACCACAAACCATTATCCACATAATAATGATTGATGGTTTCTTTCCTTAACAAAGGTTGATGTATAATCTGACAGTCAGCCTATGTTTATCAGTTAATAAGGTAGACAGTTAGCTAAAGGTAAACAGTGCAGTTTTATCTGAAATAGTCTTTAAAAAGTCAAATTTTATCCATATAGCTCAGGTCTCCAACCTTTTTCTGAGAAGGATCATGTTAGCTATAAAATAGAAGTCTGGGGCCAGATATGAAAGATAAAATTAAAGATTAAGATTTATTTCTGAATAACTGAATGACAAATCATCATCAAAGTTGAGAATAAATTTTGTGGTGCACAATATTAAAATGATCTTTATACATATTTGTGTTAGATAGATGTTCAATATTTTTATATTTGAAAAGGTTAGTTCACAAGGTACCTAGAAGTAAGAATAGAATATATCCCTGTGCAAATTTCTCAGGACTTAAAATTCTCTTCTGGAAGAAATTAATTTTTACTAAACTCTCTTTAAAAATATTTTATAAAAATCATTTATAACAAGATCTGTTAATTTTAGTTGATTTTTCAAACAGTTACATGCTTTGAACTACTATAATTAAAATCAAATGTTGTTGATAAAACATATTGGTGAAACTATGCTGATCATATTTGGCCCACTAGCCAAAGTATAGATAATCATCACTTCCAGTTATGATGACAGGGATTTTAATCATGGTTTTCATTCTGTGACATAATTTTCACCTTAACTCTGCACTTTCACCAACAATGCAACAAAATACAATGAACAGATTCCATGTTTGCTATAACAGTCACTTATTTCTGGCATGGAAACTTTGAACAACCAGTTCAGATGCAAACTGCCTTTTGTTGCAAAATTGAAATATATTATTAGAAGAATATATCAATACTGTCTCACCATAAGAACCAAGATTATTAGCAAAATTGAGGCTGAAGTTTTGAATACGAAAACGTGTACGTCGGACGTTCAGCGCCGCTTTCCTGTAAGCCTAGAAGTTTGACAATGGTGTTTGGAATGTTGAGCATGATTCCACTGACTATCACCATTGTCAAACTTCTAGGCTTACAGGAAAGCAGTGATGAACGTCCGATGTACACATTTTCATGTTTAAAATTTCGGCCTCAACCTCGCTATTATCTTTATTGAAGAAAATCAACTTTTATGACTATCACAATTAAAATTTAGTAAGAATTCCAGAAAAAGAAATAATGTAAAGAATACAGTTCACACTGCCAAAATAAATTATTTTTAAACACTTCACTGCTTACTTGGATAATGTGCTGCATGAAGCATGAAGCCGAGAATAATAATAAGTCTATATTCATAATCATATGAAAAAAGAAATTTTTGAAAATATGAAATACAATATTAATAAAATGTATACAAATTAAAAACTAATAAATGACAACTACAATCTACACATGAACCTGATTAACACAAATAGTGGGCAAAAATTTTGTTGAAAATAATTTTGAAATAAATCACAGAATCACAGCATTTTGTGTAAAAAATTATAAGAACACATATTTTGATTTCATCAGAACTTAATGTGATCAATTATCTGTTGTGTCAAAACACAACAGAAAATTGCAGTAAAAACATGCAACAGAAATTTTTGCAATACTTCCTGGTAGTGTAGAAATAAGTCTTAATTATTATTCACACAAGCTGCTTCAATCTTTTCTCAATGCTTTGCTCAATGCTTTTCACTATTTCATATTTTATCATTATTACTGCTTTTTTAACTTATCACCTACTTTGTTTCAATAAATATGAACCATATTGAACTTCACAATTCATTCTGTACCAGAGATAAGATCCTTGTGACTTATCATTCTGGCACAAAATAATATAAAATGTAACCAAATTTTTTACTCAATCTGTAGTTGTGACAAAAATAGCTAAAATGAATCTGTTTCTGATGAGTTCATTTTTGTAGATAAAGAGGTTCGTGCTTTGGCAACATTTTATTTTCCTATTTTCTGTCTTGTGCCATTATGCAACCATTATTAAACTGATATTTGGACCAAAAACATTCAAACTAAACTTGATTAGTGAAAAAATATACAAACTAGTATATATATTTATTATATATTATAATAAATATGTATATATATATATATATATATAATATAATATAATATTATAGTTATATTCTCATCATTAGCATATATATTTAGTACCTAGTGTATTGGCAATTATGGAGTATGTTGATACTCAGCAGGCTTATGGAGCTGCAGGCTTTAAGAAAAAAATGCATGCAGTCTGTAGGAAGTTCACTTGTAGTTTGTGACTAGAAAATATTCTTATCACTGAAACTCATCTTTTATCTAATGAAATTCCAGTTACCTCCAATCAAAATAATCTTTCTCTTTATCCTGTTGTGCACTTTTAAATGTAAATACAAAAGCTGAAAGATTACTTTTACTGAAATCTCTAACTGAAATGCACAACTTTATTTATTTGGCTGCAGTTTGAAAAAATTGTAAACCTATAAATTTCCACTATCATCCATCTTTACTTAATCTTGAGAATGAAATTAGACAGATGAAAGCTGAGACCAGATATGGAAAGCTTGGGGCAGGAGACCCCAATTAACTATATATGAACTTTCGATGTAAACTGGAGGTCACGTTATTTCAATTCAAAAATTTTCTCCCGAAAGGTATTAGATAGATGACTGGCACAACTCTTATTAAAAGAAAAGTAAGATGTACAGGAGCAAGATACTACTAATTTGAGTGGAAAACATATAATTTAAATTAAATAAATTAAAAATATGATTAAAAATTGCAGCTTGGTATTGTGACACTGTCACAATAAATAATTGCTTATTTGTTTGTAATTTTTTCAATTATTTGGTTTATTGTAAAAAAAGAATTATTTGCAAATGTTGATAATTGGTTAATTCAAAATAAAATTTCATAATAAATGTGTTTATGTAAAAAAAAAATAAAAACAGTATTGTAATATAGAATTTGATGAATAATGGGAAACAATTCTTGATAAAAGCAATTTACATGGTTATAACTAAGAATGTCTGTGTTAATAAGGCCCAACTGCATTACAAAAGCTAAGAAGCAGAAATCTTACTATTTTATTAAGTTAAATTTTTTTCAACATAATATATGAAACTTCATTTAATTGTTTAAGTTCTCTAAAATAAATTGCAAAAAACTTTCAAAGATAATTAATAAAATTAGGCTAATAAATAATTTTTTTTAATCAATAAATTAACTTTTTATTTTAGAACAACAAAAAGTCGAAAAGCTGTAATTTTATTAAATATATAAACAACATATAATTAATTCATGAAACAAGAATAAAATAATTAAAATCATTTTTTAATTTTAAATTTCATCATTAAAAACTAATTAAATCTTTCATAATTTTATTTTAATATGCATTAAGTTTACTGTATAATATAATTAATAAAGATTAACAGATTATCTTTACTTACTTTATCTTTTTGTCTCACTTCATTTTCCAATGTTTCAGCTTTGTTATGCAAATTACCAATCTCTTTCCTCAATTCTGTTACAGCTTCAGGATTTCCATGACTTGCTTCTAATTCTAAAACCTTTTTTTTTTATAAAAAAATTAAGAAATAATTATACTGTATAGAAAACTAAATACATGATAAAATATGTTGTATACATATAACAGTGTTAACAAAGAAATATATAAATGATATTTTAAATACAGTATTTCTAATTGCAGAATTAAAAAATGAATTCTGTTATTAATTTAAAATTTATTTGATAACTAAAGAAAAACATTAAACTTTTTATGATTTATTACATTCTGAATTTTATACGTGAAAATTTTTGAATGCTACAAATCAACATCATTTAATGCTCTTTCACAAATGAGTTGTTATAGGATTTGTTAAAGAATATAATAAATTTTTCCAAATATATTCTATATTCAATATAATCAAAGAAACCTAAATAGATAGAGATAAAATGACAATATACTTTTTCAGAGTATAATTTGAGATTTTAATCTTTATAACTACTTTTGAGATAATTATATAGATTACTTAAAACATTACACATACAATAATATAAGAAAAATTAAACTTTATACTATTTTAATTATTTCACATATGATACCATCTGTCTTAAAATAATATTCTATCAATCTGATTCTGTTTATAACTAAAAAATTATATAGTATAGTATTTAACAGATATAAATAAATTAAAAGTGATATTGCTTTTTAATTGTCATAAATAGTAGTTTTTCAGGATATCAATATTACAGTAGAGCATCAATTATCCAACTCCCGATTAACCATCACATCCGACCGTTCTAGTTGGCAAATTTCAAATGTCTGCTAGTGATGTGGCACTACAATATTTGGCTATGTCTTGGCTACTTTAATATTATTTTTGATAAATTTTTGTGTGTTTTAGCTGGCAACGTGGCTCGACCATTGAAGGGAGGCCAGTATTTAAACGAGACTTAATTTTCTAATTACGAGTGGTTGTTTGTTTTGTGAGCAATAAAATAATTTAAAAATAATTTTTAACGATACAATAGTGACGATTATTATTAAAAAAAAAAATTGTTAGGCTTAACATCGCTGAAAATTCAACGCAAAGTTGGTTAATAGCGATATACTAATATACTATACTAATAATGTATTTTTTTCTTTCTTTTCGGTTATCCGATTTTTTCAGTTATCCGAATAACCTGAGTCCCCAATTGAGTCGGATAATCGATGCTCTACTGTATTTTAATTTATATTTATTATTATTCATATCAAAATATCTCACGTTACAACATTTCCAATCAAAAATTATTTTTATCTTTTTCTAACATAATAAATCTAATTCACAATAATAGTATTATAAACTGTTTTATTTTTTAGTGATTTGTTATCTCAAGTTAAGGATTGTAGATTATTATGTTTCACAATGTGAACAATTGCTTTTGATCTTAATTGTATTTGGTCACACTTGGTCATTTTCTTCTGTGATTCTTGAAAAAACTAGTATAAATCAATAGGTTAAAACTGGTGTACAACATACAGTACTTTAAAAAGTATTAAAGATATGCTATGGAAACATCTCTAAATAAAATTACTGTATATAACAAAGAATACTCATTCTTTAATTCATAAAGTAGTTGATAAGCCATAGTCAATTTGTTAATTCAATCAAAAAACATAAATTTATTTTTGCACTATGTATATAAAAATATTGTGTTTCATTTTATACAAATATATACTATCCTACCATTAATATCTGGATATCTTTTCTATGGTTAGTAAATGAGGTCCTGTACAATGAGCACATCTTAGATCCTACTATGAATAGGCTTGTAAGACTCTGATGAGACATTTCCATAACTCAGAATGAAAGGTATTTTGACCAAGAGAGTTAATGGAGTTCAGTACAGAGTGATAATAGGTCTACATTACTAACTGTTGGGTACGTGATTTCAGCAAATCTGTAGGTCAATGGTTTCTGATGTAATATACAAATGGAAGTGGAAAGGGGACCGAATGCATCAATAAATACCATTAAAGTACACAGAATGATATATTATATAGCTTATTATGGCTGTATAGCCATCTGCAAACTGTTAATCGTGTCAATTAATGCCCCATGTTAACTACACTAGAGTGAGAAGCATTGATCTTGGACTATGGACCAACAGAAAATGATGCTCTGGAAAGATGAATCACGGTACATAATCTACAGTCAGAAGATTTAACTTGGGTATGGCAAGGATTGAAAATAGGTGCCTTCCAGACAATATCATTTTGACAATAAAGTTTGGTGAAAGCATAATGGTTTGGGACTATTTTTCATGGCTTGAGCCTATTAGTGATTTTGGACAGAACCATAAATGCTGGGCTCTGTCTAGTTATCCTGGACAGTTACAGGTGCTCCCCTACTTACAAATGTTCAACTTAAAAACTTTCAGACTTAGAAACAATTGAACCATATGTCTAATGTTAAAACTTACATTTCACTTGGATTCTGAAGTTCTGTTGCCATTCATAGGGGGCATCGAAGTCAGTCTTTGACCATTAATAAATAACAAATTTTTAATAATTAATGTGGGCTTATTTATTATTATTTAATATAATGTTTCATTTTTGTGTAAATTCTGAGGTTCCATTGCTTCTTTTGAGATGGCATTGAAGTTGGTAACTTTGGAGTAATGGTGTTTTTCACTATAATGGTAATGGTGTTTTTCACATAGTTGTTTTCAATTGTTATGAACTTTTATGATTAGTGTTTCAAAAATGCATCTAAAACATAATAGTAGTTGAGCAGTGAGCAAGAAGTGTCACTCTATTATCAGGGAAACTAAACTGGACATTATAAATCTGAGTATGTTAGGTGAAGAAAACCACATTTGAAACATCCACTACTAAGCAGTAGCAAATAGGTAAATGAGTAAGTATAATGTATTGTATTAAGAACCATACATTGGAGGATCAAACACTAACAATAAGTGGTTATTCTGTATATAAATGCACTTTCTAGGTTAGTTTTCAATTTATGAACATTTTGACTTACAAGAAAACCTTGGAAATCTAACCTATTTGTAAATAGGGGAGCATCTGTATCCACCACTAATGTTGTGGCAGTACTTTGTTGTAATTACATTACTGGTAATCACTTAAAAATAAGTAAGTTGATAATTTTTATCAGTAAATTTGGTAGTCATGTAATAATTCTTTAAAGCCAAATATTTATCTGTATACACTTTCATGCAGATTTATATTTTTATATATTAAAGATGTAGAAGCATCAAATGTTTTTATTTTAACTGTAAAAATAGTTTATGTCATTTATCTTTTAAATTATTACTTTACAGTTCTTAACAATTTTTCAATTACAGTACAGTACTCGGCTCTCCTCCGGATAACTCGGCCACACCCTGGCAGGGCAAAAAAATCCTTAGTTAATTAATTTTCATTATAGACAGCTTTATAAAAGTATAAAAGCTCTCATAAAGTATTTTTCTGAGGTCTGTCTTATCAGGTAAATTACTGTACACAGTGTATTCATTAATTTTCATTTTCATGTAGTAAAGGCTCTATGCCTTCATAAAGGACATACCTTTCCTTTTTTTAAGGGTATTTGGGCAGTTTATTCTCTGTTGTATTCTCAAGCAAACAATACATACAAGTACAGTACAGTATTTTCTGAGGAAACACGCATACTTATCCTTTTTTAACCCCATTCCCGATAACCCGGCATTTTCACAAACTCGGCCACCCTTCGGTCCACATTAGGCCGAGTTTTCGAGGTTCTACTGTATTTGCTGGACAGTTTGGCAATTTGTTTCTTTTTCCATATGCCTACACTAGAACTTTTAGTTCACAGAATGGAACACACTTTACTTGAATGCGAAAACTTACACTAGTCCCCTTTAATCACAGCAACTGAGAAATTACAGCATGCTCTATTTTTCAGGAAACAGAAGCTATCACTTTTTAAAATAAAAAAAAGGGATTCAATTTATGGGCTAATATTTGCATTTGGAATCAAAATTAAAAAATTATCAGTAAATCTGTAATATTTTGAAAATTTATCATTAAACCACTGGGAAAAAGTTAGTAAATTTGCACTGTTTAATACTTTGTGGTGGCCTACATTTGTACAGTACTAAGAAAACATTGTATCAGTTGTGTCGTTGATGATATAGCATTGAAAAGTTAAACCAACCGGTCCAGAATCCTGATCTGAACCCTATTAGAATTTTTGGGACAAACTGAATTTTAGGTATGTGTACAGAAATTTCTTTGAAAACAAAGCTCAAGTGGCAGAATATACTGCTGAATATTTTTCAAAAACTTCACAATATAACTACTGAGAAATGCAATGCTGGAGAGTAAAACACTCCAAAAAAACCTTATTTGGTACCTCAAGCAATTTGGTAATAAAGGTAGACGTTAGGTGCCATCTCCTATTGAAATGAATAATTATAATAATTTAATATAATTTAGAGCAGTCTGGAAGAAAAGAATCAGCCCAGAACAGGATCTGAACCTGCAACCTCTGCTTACCATGCACTGCACTGCCCAGTTATATCACCTGGACTTCTGAGCAACTCTTTGCTTCCAGACACATTTAAACCTTTGATATAACAATCCATGGTTACTCATGGATTGTTATATCAAAGGTTTTGAAGTCAACCCCAGTCATAACTGGGGATGACTTCAAAACCTTTGATATATCTACACCCATGGCCTACAATGTCCTCCACTATGGAACTCAGCTTCACAAACATCACTTTGGGATGTTTATATATATATATATATATATATATTTGAACAGAATATTTTTCAAAATTAGAATCTCTGTTTACATTTCATTCTGTAAAAGTGAACATGAAGAAAACGTTTATCAAGCAAACTGAAGTTTTATTAAATTTCTGTGCTAGAAAGGTGTCTAATGTTTTCTTGTCCTGAAGAAATTCTACCTTAGACAGTTATTGTTATGTTAACCTAGAATGGCATTTCATCACTATAACGTGAATTTTAGATTGTCATTTTAAGGATGAGTTGGAGCTTCTAAAATTCTATGAACTGGAGTTGGGGCTTGATTTACTGATTTCACTGATATAAAGTGATCATATTTTAAATATTGACTATTGTTGAATAATGTTGACTGTTGTTGCAATTACATGAAAAGAGTGTTTTATAATTCTATATTTATGATAACTATTGCTTTTAAAATGTTTTTTCAAAATAATTTATTTTTATATAGTTATTCCTCAACTATTTCAATTTACAGAATTTTTGAAAAATCTATCTATTTATTAAATAAAATGAAAAACAAATAGTGTATATTCCTTTACCATTTGCATAATAAACATGAAATAAATCAATAAAACAAATCTTTGTGAAATGAAAGAAGATAAATTTCTTACATGAGTTTTCATTTTGGTATTTTCTTCTTTTAAAGCTTGTAACTGTCTTTTCCATTCCTCTACATTTGCTGTACTTTCTTGTAGTGCACTGGTCAAACGTACGTTATTATTTTTCAAAGTTTGTAATTCAACCTCCCATTTTTTGGCATTAGCTGAGCTATTCAATTCAAAAAATAAAAACAAGATAGATAAATTTACATTTTAGCTAGATTAAATATTGTATATTAATTAAATGCATTTAAAATAGTTTAAGTGACATCATTTATGTCATGAATAAAATTTAAAAGTTACAAAAGAAAAGTTTACAAGGTTGTTTTTGTAAATTTTGTTCATTATACTCATTTATAGAATATACAAGTTTTACTTTATTCTTCTAGTCATTGTTTATGAAAACAACAAAAACTACAAGGGCCATTTTTTTCAACCTCTGATGGTCCATAAAACAAAGAAAAGTGTAAATAACAAAATAAATTTATTACCAAAAGTTAGGTACAAACATGGTTACTTTTCGACATAATCACCGTAAGATTGAGGCATTTGTTATATCTGTGGACAAGCTTTGCAATCCCTTCTTCATAGAATGTTGCCACCACTGACTTGAGATGGACCTTAACGCTGTTTTGAAGATTGTCATTAGTCTCAAAACCTCTGCTCTCCTAATCAGGTTTTCAGTTCAGGAAAGAGGTGGAAATCACTCGGCACTAAATTGGGGCTTTACACCGGGTGTTTAAAAAATTGCAAGCTGGGTTGAAGTCTTCACATGTTTAATTTGTGAAGACTTTCACCTCTTTCCTGAACTGAAAACTTGGCTAGCAGGACAGAGGTTTGAGACTAATAATGATCTTCAAAATAACGTTAATTAATTAAGGCCCATCTCAATCACTGGTAGCAATATTCTGAAGAGGGGATTTCAAAGCTCATCCAGAGATAGACAAATGCCTCAATCTTTACAGTGATTATGTTGAAAAGTAACCATGTTTGTACCTAACTTTTGGTAATAAATTCATTTTGTTATTTGTTACTTGTCTTTTTTTTTTTGGTCCATTGGAGATTGAATAAAAAACCGTCAATGTATATTGAATGTAAAACATGAATGTAATGAAATTCATTATAAACTTTTTCTAAATTTTTTCTATATAAAATATAATTATATTTTTGATTTAAGACTGTACTCACAAGCTATTAACAAAAAAAGTGGAAACACTTTTTTTGTTAACAAACATTAAATCCTGTTTTTTGTTTAAAGAAAATTAAATCTAAAAATAAATTAAAAATTATATCATTAATCAATGTTCCATCTATTTACAAATTTTTAAGAATTTTTATTAGTATGATTACATATATTCAGAAAATGTTTGCTATACACCAGAGGGAGTCATTGTTGTCATCATTCAGTGAACACTGAATGATGACAACAATGACTCCCTCTGGAAATACCAGAAGTTCAAACTACTTGTACCAAAAATCACTAGAACTAATTTATTTACCTTATATTTACACAATATATATTTTACAATAATACTAGTTTACAATGGAGCATTATCACTATGGAATCATATAAAAATATTCCTTCTCAGTGGAGCTCAAGAAAGGCATGGAGTCTGAGGGTCTTCAACTAGCTGCAGGGATATTAACTCTTGGTGTACCAGTGTTCTATCAGCTGACTAGGACATACCATGCATATCTGTTGAAACTTTCCTGTGACATGGCCAAAGTTTGGGAAGAGGACTTCTCACAAAGTCTTGGGCTCCTGTCGATCCCTGTCAAGTTTGATGCTCTCATTCAATAATGTCATCAAATAATATCCTCCTAAGAAAATTTCTAGGAGATTAGATTTCTAAAGAAGCCTAGTAGACACAAGTGGAGTAACAGCAAAATTGAAGCTGATACGTAAGAATTTCAGAAAAAAAGTAAATAATTCCAAATTATTTACTTTATAATTAATAATAATTCATTTAATTATATTATTTAGTAAAGTGTATCATTTTCATATTTAAGAGTGCACTAAATTTAGTACATATGAAAGTCCAGGTTAATGTCAGAAGCATTTACATTCAGGCTATGTTAGAAAAGGCTACATTTTAAGAATTTATAGTCTGTACCAGTGACAAAAGTGTTAAATCTGGCATTGAGTAAGTCTCTGTCCTCTTATTTAGCTAGGGTAATGGCTCCCTACCATTTGATGAGAAAACCTTGATTGTGTTTATGTGAAAGTGAATATAAAATATAAAGATGATAACAAACTCATTTCCTTTTATACTTGGGAAGGATATAGAATGTTGTTTACCAATTTGTTATTCTCCACTAAACCCCTTTAAGCAGCTCTTTGTTCACATTATTAGAGTTAGTTTGGTTATTCAGTGATTCAATTCCCTTATGCAAAAAAAGAAACTGCTGCTGAAATTTATTGGCAACTTGTTTCCATTTATGGTGAAGATGTTATGAACAGACAAAATGTGATAAAATGGTTTCCTACTTCACACAGCTCACATCAACATGAGTTGTTGCAGACATTCAAGTGAGAACTTTTGAAACATCCGTCACACAGTCCCAATCTTATACCAAGCAATTATCACTTTTTTCTGAAGTTGAAGGAACATCTCTCTAGAAATAAGTTTATGATGATAACGAAATTCAGGACATGGAGATTTTTATGATGTTGGCATCAAGAAACTTGTTTCCATGCTCATCATATGCATTGAGGCTCATAGTGAGCATGCAGAAAAATAAACAAACATACATTCTAAAGGTATTATAAGTCAATCTAAAATTAAAGTCCTTTAAAAATATTTTCTGAACTTTGATCTTTACTTTGTGAATATACCTCTTGCAGTATACATTGTGTTGTTTTGAGTGTCACTAGATAGTGTCTAATGTTGTCTACTTGTGATGTCACAGATTATTTAAAATGATAGTCTGTATAAGTAAGTCAACATAGATGGATGTGCAGTAGCAGCTGTAATAGCTACTTATGTAGATTTTTTTAAAAATCTTTTCACTCTGGGTTCTAAGAGAGCCTTTTATCAAGTCCATATTACAATGAAAAAACTAGGTTGTGAGAGACAAAGCCAAACTATCTGGGACAGATCATCCATGATAAATTCCTGGGGTTTTTCAAGTACCTATATTAAATTTTGGGACCCCAGAGTGATAGGCTGATGCCTTAACCAGCTCAGCTATCTGACCAGCTGAACTTTGACATTCTGACACCATGAAAAGACTGGAATTTGGCTAGAGTAACACAGGACAACTGACAGCAAGCAATTTATCCAGATATATTTTGTGCAACACACACTCATTACTGGACATTACATAGTCTAGAGCAGTGATTCTCTACCTTTTTTTTTCATCATGGCACACTTTAATAATTTAAAAATTTGGTAGCACACACAGTTACTTTGGTAAGTACCATAGGACAACCGGTGACATCATAACAGTGATTTTTAAACATAGTTGGTTATTTATGTAACATTTTCTAAATGCCTTGGTAACTACCGGCATTTACCGGTAACACCGATTACAATTCCCTAGGAAATGTACCCTAGGAAGATAGAACCAATTGAACTACTTGTCTGATGTCACTTATGTATGGGTATTTGCAGTGGCAGCACACTTCAAAAATCTCGCAACACAGTGATTGAGAATCACTAGTCTAGAGAGACAAGTTTACGCACCATTCAATTGATGATACATTAGTGTATATGTTACTGTGAAAAACTGAAATTAGAAAATGTTGATATTCTCCGGTGAATGTCGACACACACAAAATATGTTGGTGAAAGACCGAATATTTGGTCATATTATTATACATTCGAACAATCGCTGGTGTATGTTGACAAGCACAGATAAGCTTTGGTTGAGGTCTAAACGACATCCAAGAAGCCAATGTTGACAGAGAGGCGACAGTCTGTCGCCGAATCCTTTGCATGTAACCGGAGGTCATACCTCTTTTACTGGCAACGGTTTGGTGGCAACCACTTTGTCACTGGATGGCGTTTTTGTTCTTTTGATCCCATGAGCTGGGGATCGGTTTGTCAGGTCAAATGGCAAAGGATGAGAGTGGTCGTTGGTAAGGTGTTCACGATATCCGAATAAAAGACACCATTAACAGATCAGCTCGTAATTTGTAAAGAAAAGTTACTTTCCATAGATGAGATTTCTTCTCAATAAATATTGCTGAGAGAAGCAGCTACAGCTAATTCAAAAAGTGGAGGGCAAGGCTATACACGCTGTCATTGCAAAAAGAAGTGTTCTACAGATAAATGCAGCTGTAAATCAAGGGACTCTTGTGCAATTCAAAGTGCCATAACAGTTTAAGTTGTTGCAATAAATAAGATTGTATAACGTTAATTACATAATTTATGTGTAAGCTTATTATTGTATTATTTTCTTTAATGATTTAGAATGTACTGTTTGTTTTAGGTTCAACAGTCAGTAGTTAGGTTTACATGTGCTGTTACTTAAGCTTTCTCATATTTTGACATATTAAAAAGTTACATTTTTGTCTTAATGTAATAAAGATATTTTTATTCAACATTCACCATTCATGCCGAATGTCGACATTTACCGGTGTAAGTGAGAAATAATGATATTTAGCAAATATTTCATACATACACCAAACGACTGTGTGAAGCTGACATTCACCGGTGAATGTTGACATTCGCCAGATATCGGTCATTCACAGTAACATATACACTATATTTAGTTATTAAAGTGTCACATGTAGATCAGGGATGGGCAACCTGTAGCCCACATTTTGTGAAACCCATGCTATAAAAAATATTTAAAAAAAATATAAAATAAAAATTTTAAAATACCGTGGTCTGTAGTCATACTAAATATCAAGAGCCTGCTTCATATATGACCAGTAGTTTAATTAACCTGACTTCACTCAACACTTTGTATAGAGCTGTAAAGCTTTAAAAAAATGTTCTCTATCCTTGCATTTAATTTTTGGGTTACTTTGCAAATTGTAAACTTTATATTAATATACTCTTCACTGAAATATAGATTTTTACAGTGTCTTTTTCACTAAACTTACAAAATGTACCAAATGAACTTCAATTGGAGATAATCGACTTGCAAAGTAATATTAATTTGAAAGATAAATTTGATAAATTTCTATAAAATTTTTATCAAAGAGAATCAATTTCCCAA